TTCCTTCTCTCTATACAATCTCTATAGAATGTCCTAACATTTTTTAACTTTGTTTACAGTAGCATATATTAACTTCGGATCTCACCCTCAGATTACTATGGGAAAATAAATAAATAAAGACAAAGTATTGCTCAATGTAAATGATACAAATGTGACTTGAAACCACCACAAATTCAAAGGCTAATTTTTTTTTCAACTTTCAGAAGTTACAACCAACTCACCTTGAAGACGCTGAAGGAAAAAAGGGCTGAATATTTTTGCCATAAAGTTGACTGGATGGCGTTCAATAAGTGAACATGAATGGAGAAGTTTCAGTAGTGTTTTGGGTGGAAAATAATTAAAATGAGTGAATAGCATATTTTCTAGCTTCCTAAATAAAGCAGAGGCATTTGGTGGCAAATAATTGAGTTTTCCAAATGGTTCAATTAATTTAGAAATCTGGCTAGGTGAAAATTTTTCTGATTGGCAAACAAAAGTTTCTGCCACTGCATCAAAGATGGGTTTTGAAAGAATCAGTTTTCTACTGCAGTACTCCATGATTTTGCTGACAACTTCAGGATCCAAGGTGAGAGAACGTGCAGTTACGTGTTGCTCTAGGGCTTTTGTAAAAAATCTGTCACTGTGCCCAAAATATATGAAAGCCTCTAAGACTCTTCCAAGTTCCTCATTAGTGAAATGTGTGATGTGCCTCACAACATATTTACTCGATTTTATAACCAGAGGAAGTGCCTGAGTTTGATCAAGAGCAACGAGGGCAGTGAGCATTTGGCTAATCAATTTAGGACTCAGGTTGGAAACCACTGAAAGGGAAAAGTTGTTTATCTTATTTAAAAATGTTTGGTGTTGGTCCATTTTTTCAGCACAGGCCTGCAATATTCTATAAAGGGCCACAATATCCTCCGGGGTAAATGTTTCCAATTTTTCACCTTGCAGTTGATAAATAATCAGTTCTAGTGTCACACAATCTGGACCTTGCAGTCTAATCAGACTTTCCCCAAGAATACAAAGATTGTGAACTTCCAGGCCACCTCTTTTGAGACGATTCTGACACTCTGCCACTAGGTTCAGTAATAGGCTACTTTGAGGATCCACATGCAACAGAATCAGAGACTGCAAAAAAGCCATCAAACTAGTGTTTGACAGATGTGAGGGTTCCTGTTCAAACCGAAAGCATAAAGCTTGAAAGAGGCTATTCTCTAGTATGTCTTTTGGCAGCCTTCGATCACCACCTTTTTTTTCCACTTCACAAATCCGTTGTAAAGCTTCTGCTGCCACAGTATCAGGGAGAGTTTCCATTGTGCTTATGAAACTTAACACTTCTTCTGATGAAGTGAAGTTGTTTAGCCTCCTGATAAATATCTGTTCGTCTTCACTTTTAAGATTTTGTTCAAGCCTGTCCCAGTCACGTACTTGAGAGTATACCGGATGAGGGTCATTTCCATTTTCTGAATGAAACTTTTTACAACAGGCGTGACGGAATCTTACCCTGAAAAGCTCAGGTGGTTGTGAACAGAACCAAGGACACAGATGCCCCTTGACTGTCTTGTGAACATGATTTATAGGTTGATTTTTTAGAGTAGCTCCGTGTATCCAAAAATCAGATAAGTGACAAAGGTTCCTCCGCAGGGTGATTGAAGCCATGCCATCAGATTCTCAACTTCTCTCGATTTATAACTAAATTAAAGAATTAAAAAACATGGTCAAATACACTGAGACATGTACACTGTTGACATGACTCACTCAACATCAATGTTTACAAAACTACCAATGAGTACTTGAAAAAAGAGAGTGATAAAAATTCCCCTCTAAAATATAAGCACCAGAACATCGGGGTCTCTTAATCCTAGAGTTAGAAAAGTGGCATCTAACAATAACTATCACTATCACTTGCCAGGCCCTATTGTGTTTTATATCTATTAACTTACACAAATTAAGTACTTTTATCGTCATTTTACACAAGGAAAAAGTTGGACCACAGATAAATTGCTTTGCGCAATGTATGCAGCTAGTAAGTGGCAGAACTGAGATTCAAACTCAGGTAATACAGCTCTTAACTGTGCCTCTTATATGTTTGCTGAAAAAAGGAATTGTGTTTGGTTAGAAGTAAATTTATTCAAAAAAGAAGAGAACGGGTAAAGTAGGCAAAAATAGGATAACTAGTGCAAGGCAAGGGTAAAAGCTTGCTTAAGGGCCCTGAAATGTTGGTTTCCCCTTGGTGTTAGGGTTCAGCTAGGGTTGAAGGAAAAAAGTCTACCCACCTTGGCAAGCGGAAAAAAGCTAGAATTTTAAAAAAAAAGCCAACAAAACAAAGGTCAACGAGGGAGGAAGGTGGGGTGGCCAGTCCAGACTTAAACACCCCGCTGGAGGATCTGCGAACACGAGTGTGCAGCACAGAGGGGACCGGGACCGGGGTCGCGTTCTCCCTAGAATGAAAGGGACCCACGGGCCGAGCACCTTCAAACGCAGCGCCCGGGGATCTTCGCTGGGACACTGGTCGGGTGCCGCAGCCCGAGAAAGGACGGCCGGGCCAGAGCACTGCCGGCGTCTAGCGACACCGAGGGACTGCACATGCCCGGCCAACCAAGCTGAGAGCTCTATGGGCACCTACCGAGGTCCTCCTGCCGCGCGTTCAGAGCAGCCGTAGTAACACCAGAACCTCGTGGGCCTCCGTACAGAAACGCGGCGCCTGGACCCAGCAGCCTGGCGCATGCGCAGGGCCGAGAGGTTGCCCAGGCCCTGCCCACGGCCGGCGCTCTGTAATTGGCCCCATCTCCCCCTGGATCGAGCTGCCTATTGGTCCTGGGTGCCGAGCATGCGCACTTCGGCGGGGCGTAGGGCTGGCGGAGGTCGAGCTGTACCGGAGTGTCTCAGCCAGACCCCGCGTAGGTGAGTGCTCTGGGATCTGCGGCTTCCGGCCCAGGGGGCCTGTTCAACCCGAGCGCGACGGGGAAGCGGCACGTAGTGTGCCAGGGTAGCCGGTTTGCGCGCGTGGTTTCCTCTCCCTCCGAGCTCCGTGGGGTTGCTGCGGGCGCGGGCTGCGGGGCTCGGCCTCAGGGCCTCCGGGAGCGCGCTCTGGGCCTTAGAGTCGCTCGTGGAGGCGCCAAGGCCTGCGGGGTGGCGTGGGGCCTTTCCCCCTGCGCCGCCTTAGGTTCCGGATACTTTCCAGACCTGGGTAGACTGCACGTGGGACGGGGGCGTGTCGGGAAGGGGCGCGCTCGGGAGACTCCGGGGCGTTCCGAGCGCGGACCCGGCCGGACGCGGGCGACGAGTCCTGTCACCGCCTCTGCGCGAGCCCCTGGTCCTGCCAGTGCCGGGAACCTCCGCTGAGTTTCTTGCTGTTTCGGGCTGTCGTGGGAATGAGGGGTAATCCTCAGAAGCACGCAGCAACAGTGTGTGGCTCCTGGGAAGTGATACAAATTGTGAGCTGCAGTAAGGTTTTCATCACCGTATTTTCACAGTTTTCTGTGAAGCCCTAAGTGTGTAGTGTCTTCATGTTATTCATTTATTTATTAATTCATTCAGGTAACTTACTGAGCACTTGTATGCCAAGTGCTGTTATGGTCCCTAAGGATATTCCAGAATTAACATGTAATTTCTTTGTGGCTTAATTTGTCCTTAGATGTAATTGGCCACAGGAGCATAAAACCATAGGTGGTTCATTCACCAAAAGCCAAGATTTTGACTCCGGTCTCAGTTTATATGTACTCCTACAGTTGACAGTCTGCCAGTTTCAGCCACTAGATGAGTATGGAAATAAACCCTTGAATGTCGTTAATTTTACTAACAAACGTTTTCCCTAAAGAGATAACCAATAGTAAAGACATATGTACTTACGTATATGTATACACTACTCGCATATATGGTACTGAATTAAATAACAAAGAAGAGTAAGTGCTTCAGTTAGCTTTAGTACTATGATTTCTTTGTTTAGCATTAGGATCAAATAGGAACCAAGAATACTATCATTTTAATGGAATTTTTACTTTACTGGTTTTAAAAAGAGGAAACAAAGATATTTAAGACTTTTTTTTGAGTGATACTACGGCTCATGCTTTGCTCAGGTGTTTTGCATATGTCAAAGCCTTTTCCGGGTAGATAGTATGATCCCCATTTTAAGGATATGGGAGCTGAGGTACAGATCAGTTGAGTAGTTTGCCTACAGGTATGCACTTAGAACTGCAGATTGAGGCCTAAGTAATTTGCCCCGATATATCTGATTTCTGGGCCATGGGATTAGATTTTCATTCCTATACTCTCCTTAGTTTACTGAATTCTCTCTTATTTAGGCTTCTTTAGAATTAGCGCTAACAAACAAATTTAGAGAAGCCATTTCATAGTATGTGTGGGTATTGCATTAGTTTTTACAGATCAAGGGAGAATTAATACCTGTAAGTTGTTACTACTTCGTTAAAAAGCAAATCTCTTTTTTTCTTTTCTGTTTTTCAGTGTTACTGTTACAGCATATGCCTTGAAGTGATGAGGCGGTTTTTGTTACTGTATGCTACACAGCGAGGACAGGCAAAGGCCATAGCAGAAGAAATATGTGAACAAGCTGTGGAACATGGATTTTCTGCAGATCTTCACTGTGTTAGTGAGTCGGATAAGGTAAGAGCCATTGCTTTGGATTTTACTGTGTTTTGTGCATTGAAGTATTTTTGCTGTTAAATGATGTTTGTTAAATAATGAAGTAGGGCACTAAATACCACCATAATCCTTTTATTTTTTTAACAACCAGAAACTTACTTTTGCAACTGTATTGTAAGATTTCAGCAGTTTTTTTTTTTAACATAGAAGTATGCATTTGCATTAGAGTAAATGGTCTCAAAAACCAAAACAAGTAACTACTCCTTAACTATAAATGGCAGTAATAGTATGTGCCTCGCTTATCTCACGGGGTGCCCATGAGAACAAATGAGATGTGTATTTGCATGTGTCTTTTCCACTTCATGAATCTCAACGCCTCATTTTGTTTTCCCAAAAGAAGGACATTACCACTCGTGGTAGAGTTCCTCAACATGAAGGACTGCCTAGATTGTTTTGTGAAATAGAATTAAAGCAGTAGTGTAAGGATCTGGAAAAGGTTGAGCTGCTTAAGGTCAGGGACTACTTATTTTCTCATTCAGTCTCTGCAGAAGTTCCTACCTTGGCGTATATAAGACTATAACAATTCTATGTTCTTCTTTCATTTAGTCTGAGACCTACATATTATACTGTTTCAGACAATTCTGATGATAACCAAAAGGACTTTATGGCACAAGATGATGTGCCAACTGCTAAGCAGTCAAATTCACTTCAGCACTTCAAAACTGTCCTGCCAGGCCTCTCTCTCACTCAAGTGCACAACCTCCTTTGGCCCTTCCTAAAACTAGTTCAAAAGACTAGACTGTCCGCAGCACAGGTGAATTGTAAGTCCGGCTCATAGAAGGAGACTCACCTTTATGCAACGTTGCCATGGTGACTCCTGATATAGTCACTTACAGAAAAGGGAGCTTCCCAAGGACACTGTCAATCTGCAGGCTCTGTTATTCTATAGTGAATTAAACTTATGTTGCAGTGCCACATGGTGAAATACAATCTGCATCTGTTACTCTGAGCAAAAAGTCATCACTGTCATAAAACTAGCCGTAATTTGGCTCCTTGTGGTTAACCTCACTAACTAGGTCAGCAGCTATTTGACAGTCAGGTTAGTGGTGAATTTTCTTCAACACCAAGGTAGTCATGCTGCTTACCCTCTCTGGCTGAGTGGTATCTCTAATTGTTCATAATCTAAGTTTAAGAGATAGCACACTTCCTAGTTCACAGTAGTCCTTTCCAAGGCAAAGTTACTTATACAAATTCTGTGTGGAGTTTTAACACTCAGCTGTGTAGTATCTTTTAAGCATTAAATGACCTGGTAGAAAGTTAGCTCAAGTCGTTATCTCTCATATCAGCATAAAAAATAAAGTGAATTTTTTGGAGCCAAATTAGATGGTGTTCATGAGCAGTCAAGCTCATGGACTCTTAAGTAGAGACAGAGACAGGAAATGCTCTGTGAAATATTTAAATTTACATGATAATTACAATAAAGAAACTTGATGTATAAGAGTTGGGGACACTGACAATCTTAGCTTTCAGCTGATGATAGTCTCAGCTCTCTGGAACCCTGAGGGAAGGAGGATCCTGAGGATAACACTTTTAACTTCCCAGCTTTGAAATGCTCCAGGTCCTCTGCCTTTGTGTCATGAGCATTGCATACGGCTGGGTTTATATTTTGCTGAAGATTTCGGAGCTCCTGTGTTTGCACTGCTGTCTTTCTTCACCAGAGTATTCTATTTGTTTCTTCCTTGTTTTGCCATTTTAATCCTGAGTGCTTATGTGTATGTTCTTTTAATTTCTGAATCTC